AAATGGTTATTATTATGCAAAAGATAAAGATTTTTTACGGGTTCTTTTTATGCTAGAGTTAGAGATTTGATTGTATTTTTTTATTTTAGATTTTATTCGATTTTAGTTTAGTATAGTTAATTATAATATATTTGTTACTCATTTCTCTTGTGTTGTGTGCTCCTTATTCCTACTGTTCTGTCACTTGTGATGCAAGACTGAAATTTCCCCACTGTGGGACAAACAAAGGATCTCTTCATCTTCATCTTAAACTCTTTCCACAAGAATACATTATTGATCATTTAAATATAACATTTCTTTATTAGTAAAAGAGGGTCTGACAATACCTCTAATTCTCTCAACACGACAAAATAGCAGATCATGATTTTTTTTACAGGGAAAGATTGTGATCTTCAATTGAACTTATTGCACTTGGTCTCAAGGAATGTCCAATAAATAATTCAGTAATTGAAGAAATGATGAACTATTCAAGACTTTAGCAAGAAGGTAATGGGTTCAAATCCCGGTCAGAACAAGGTCTTTCTGAGTGAAGTTTACATGTTCTCCCTGTGTCTGTGTAGGTTTCCTCCGGGTGCTCCAGTTTCCCCTAGCACTAAAAACATGCACAATAGGTCTGAATGTAATGAGTGAGTGAATGGATGATGTTTGGTCAGAGGCTTTGATGGACCAGTGTGTTCAGCGTCTCGCTTCCGTCATCACCGTGTGGTGAGAATGAAAAAATATCTGAACTCTGAACATAAAGCACTTTGGGGAACCTTGGTCTGTTAAATGCGCTATATAAATAAAGATTACTTACTTACTTTGTTGTATTTTAACCGTTTTTAAAATGTACTTCTTACTTGTTTTACTTGTGTGTCAGGCGAACTCGTCAAGAAAGGCTCCCCACATACAAAATGTATTATTATTATTATTTAGAAACAGCTAAAACCGCTAAAACAAGTGTAATCGATAAGAGTTCCCATCTGCTCGTCTTATGTCATATTTTGCATTCGCGGTCATCTTTGACACAGACCTCGCTCTCTCCTCCCTCGTGTCGCCGGAGCGCATCGTGTCTGTGAGGCTCTAATCCTGATGTAATTAACTATAGATTTCCAGGAGGAAGCGGCGTCGCCAGGACCCATCTAAACGAAGCTGCAACGACTTTCTCCATTCAGAGACTCCGTTGACCTCATGAACTCGCACGGCCAAAAAAACGTCTTGGAAATGAGACGTGGCGCAGTGAGTCACGCTGAATGACGCTTTTTGTGAGAGCAGAGACATTTCTTATCAAACAGTTAGAACGCCGAGGTCAGCGCCGGACAAAAGGCTGGACTTGCACAGACGAACCAAAGCTGTCAGGCATCGCTGGAGTTTGCAAAGTGGATTTAAAATAAAACTGTGGAGATAGTCGTCATTACTGTATGATATTGAACCTTCAGTTTGGCCTTTTGTATTCTCCCTATTTTTTTTTTACCTCAAACTAAAGTACTTCACGTTACATTTTAATGATCACAAACCAGTGGCTTTTTATTGGAAAACATTGTGTGAAATTGTGTGCCATTTTTGACAGACATTGAAAAATAACAAGTCTAAATGTTTTCCCAGATCATTTTTTGATTGATTATATTCACAAAGCCGCCATATTATTCTTATGTCTTGAGAGTCTTTTCTACTGGAAAAGATCATGCATGTGTTTTTTTAATATTGTCACCACTTCTCGACACCTCATCATGAGAAAATGATATACATTTTTGTACTGCCAAAGAAGATACTACTATTGTAGCCATAGCTGCCCTGGGGCACACTGACAAGCGAGGCAACCACACACACATCAGACACATTCTAGGAAATGTGGGTGAGGTGTCTTTCCTAAGGACACAACAACAGTTTTGCACTTTACAGCAGTCACCAGCGGTGGCAGCAATTGTCCCCCATCACAGTACTAACCAGGCCCTGCTCTTCTTAGCTTTTGAGGTCTAACGGGATCTGGCTTCCAGATGGCCACAGTTACTATGCAGGAGTGAATTATCAGCTTCCCTCCGCTGCAATTGTTAACTCTTTGGAATCTTGTGATGTCTCTAGAACTTGGGCTAAACACATCAGAGGGAGTGAACACAGAGGGTCTGTCTGAAGACGGCCTGTTCCATATTGCACCTGAACGTTGACTGTCTAGCCGGCAAAACACCAGCTTCCGGGTCGATGATAAGGACCCCAGTAAGAGTCTTCTGTGTTGGCAAATTCTGGAAAATTCCTCATTTAAAACTATGGATGAATTTTTATTGAGGGATATTGTAAAATAGTTAAAATGAATCCATGTCGAGTGACTCTGCTATGTGTAACTGATTGTATTGGTAGCACCAGTCTTCATAGTTTATTCAAATCAAATAAGCAAAGTTACAAAAATGTGTGTTCCTTTGTACTCTAATTAAATATTTGCGTAACAACTTTCATTTTCACTGGACATTATCCGGATCCAACATTAGCCTGGTATTTGAAGGATGACTATTCACTCTCACATTCATTCATCAGTATTGAGCACTGAAAAAGTGTCACATGCAGCATTGCGTGGACTGTTGTACAAACTATAAATCAGCTTTTCTACCATACACTGAATCAGGGTGGATTACACATGCAGCAGCCAATCAGGTCTCGGCCCAAAGAGTAAGATAGTGACTCACATGGCTCATTCTTCCATAGATACAATAGCTCAAATGGAAAGCATCAAAAATCAACAAACAACAAAATGACTTGGGTTATTTTTTTTCCACACAGTCTGGAGGAATAACTAAAATCTTCAGGAATCCCAGTTTGGTACCCCATCAAAAACAAGTCCCTAACCTGCTGTGTGATGTGGGGAACGACGACACATTAGCACGAAGTGACGATAACCCTCACCACATGTCCTGCTTACTCGCATGAACATTTACACCCCCAAACTGGCTGGGACTTTACGACTTCACCTCAAATCACTTCAGCAAATGGACCTCTGTCTCCCAAATAGCACTTAACACACACACTGACCCACACAGGCCGACACATACTGACACATACACACGCACACATACACAGACATACGCGCACAAACATACACAGACATCACATCAGGCAGGATAAAGCCCAACGACAGCCTGCTAAAATTGCACCTATAAATCATTTGTCAGGCAGCTGTAAATTCTATCAGCGGCATGCATGCAGTCAATGTGTCCTGCAGCCTTGCACACACACACGCACACACACACGCACGCACCTACACAAACACAATAGACTCTATATAGTCGGACAATGCTAACCTGCTAACAAGGGAGTGCACACAAACAACCTCTCAGGGTCTCTGTGGTCCTGCTTTTGTTAATTTGATATTGTCTTTGTAAATCCAGATTTTAGCTTTAAGGATTGACCAATCAGATGCTTTCATTCATAGGGAAACTCCAATAAAAAAAAAAAAAAATCTAAGCTCTGTGAAAGGCACAAACTGGACACAAGTTCATTAGACAAAACTTTCGCAAACACAATTACCATTTCTTAAACGCCTCAGGTCTCAGTCTCCTGCTTCACTCTCAACAGTATAAATCCTATGCATTATGTCCTTATTTATTAACCTCCGACTAAACTATAGTTCTTCATGTTTGACTTCAATTCAATTATATTTATCTACAAATCTTCCACAAGTCATACACAAACTAGTTTAAGTGCTTTGTGAAAGGGAATTCCCAGGAAGCTGCAGTAGTTTATGGATGGGCATAACAATACATGTAAACAAAGGTCATATTATATCTTTATACATTTCTAAACCAATCAATCTAAACATGTTTCCCACACACACACACACACTCACACACACACTCCCACACACACATACATTATTATTGGGGAAATATTGTGTGACATGTTGGTATGATTCGTGCATGCTTGATATTTATTCTTCTGCATTTGACGACCCCCCGTTGTTTTGACCTCCCATTTACGTCTATGTTTAGAATGATCTTGATTTCCATTCTTGAATCGGCAACACACGGTGATTCAATGAGTTGCACAAACCTCATGACACAAGCGAGGGAAAATCCACAGCTACACTTGCTGCTATGTCAGTACTTAGTTGTGACGTTGTTTACAAGAAAAGTAGCAGATGCATCCCAATTTATTTATGGATGGAAAGTAAGTAATCTTTATCTATATAGCGCCTCTCATAGACCAGAGTCAAAAAGCGCTTTACAATTTGTTGTTCTTTTGGGCATTTGTCTTCAACTCCACACAGAGATGGGAGCGGGGACCTAAGTGTACATGTTTTTAGTGGTAGGGGAAACCGGAGCAAAAGGAGGAAACCGGAGCACACGGAGGAAACTGGAGCCAAAACAGGGAAAACATGCATGCACGCAGAAAGTCCTGGGGGTGGAATCGAACCCAGGACCTTCTTGTTGTGAACTCCAAACGCTAACCACTGCGCCACCTTGCTGCCAATCAGTGAACAGCTCTGTTTTAAATTTTTACAACAAAAAACTCACTGTTCACTTATTTTCAGAATCTGAGCCAAAATAAGTAATTGGTCCAGGAGAACGTTGATCAGACTGTAGGTCAACTGTAGGTCATCCTCCTCCAGAAGACCAAGACTTTTGGGTGCTCCAAGAATGTACGTTTTAGTGGTTTAGTTCCAATGCGTTAAGAATGTTAATGACTTTTGCACAAACCCTCGCTTCAATGTTTCTATCATTTATTTACACACACACACACACACACATACACACACCCAACCATTCTCTTTTTAGACAACTGCGTGTGTGAAAAATACAACTAAATAAAAGCAAAAGCACAATATTTCTCGTATAATTAACTTGACTCTTTCTAAATGGCTAAAACAACAACACATTTTTCTACCGGCGTTCTTTATTTTTGCTCTGAAGGCTCTGACAGATAATCACTGTAATCAAAAGCACAAACAAGGAGAATGTTCATCTCCAAACTGCACAAATCAAGGCTTTCGCTCATGTGTTTCCCCCGAGACGCCTCGCCGCGTTACGCTCTGCTCAGAGAGAAGAAAACAGCATTCGGATGAAGTCAAAAGGTCGTTCACTACAGAGAGAAATACAAGGAGACTTTGTTTATCAGTCGATACGTGGAGCAGGTCCAAGAGAGGTGTGCTGTGTGGTCAGGGTCTGCTGTGGAGGAAACTGCTTCTACCGTGCCATGGAACTGCTGCAGGCGCAAAACAATTCAACAAAATCAACGTTGAGCAGTTTTTTCCGCATTTAAAATAACTAGCTTCATCCACGTGGATATGCAGCTGAAGCGGAGGTTCAGGATGGTAGACTACCTGCGTCACTTCACCAGGCTGGTCCACTCTAACCCAGCCTGCCCTAATCAGCTAATCAACTCCCTGCCAGCTGTGTCAAATCAAGCCAGCGCTTAAAAGCAAAGCAAAGCAGAACACAGCTCATCAAACAGCCTTTCAAGCCGCAAGTCTGTTCGCGTCTTCGGTTTGGTGGTCTTTGTATTGTTACGCACTTCTACTACGTCGAAGCAAGGGAGGGTTTCTCGCCCATCATCTGTACTTCTTAGAAAGTTTTCCCAACGTTTCTGGGAGGTGCGGATGATGGGTGGGAAACCTTCCTTTGCTTTGACTAATCCCTGTACGACTGAGAGCTTACACAAACTTCTACTACGTCTCAAAAGTCAACTACGGGATTAGGTTTCAGGGACTAAGAGTACATTAAACGTGCGTGTACATACAAGAGCTGTCCGCGCTGGTGGGGCGCGGGGATCTCCCCTTCGCTGACTCCACTGCAGACGCCCGCCATGTCTGCTCCCAACTCGCCTCCGCTCTTCGCCCCATCGCCTGGCCCTTCCACGGTGCGGAAGAGCGCCCGCCTAGCTTCCAGGGAGGGCAGGCCGGTCCGTGAGTACCTCGTGGCGCGGGGCGTCGTGCCCGGGCCCGACGCTCCCTCGCTCCAGCTGCAGGAGTTGTGCGAGCAGCTGTCAGGCAGCTCCTCTCTGTCTCCGCGGGCTCCGCCTCCTCCCTCGGGGAAGCGTTCGTGCAAGAGCAAGCACATGCACGCAAAGAGGCCGCGTTTACACCACTCTCCGCCTGTGCAGCCAGAGCGGGCCTCTGTGCATTCAGGGTCCCCCCCCACGCCACGTTGGGGCCATCTACTCGCTGTCAGTCCCGGCTCGCCTGCTCGGGCCTCGACTGCGCCCGGCCCTGCCCGGCCGCGTCTGGCTGCAGTAGAGGAGGCAACAGCCCTCTCCTCAGCGGCTCCGGGTCGCGGGCTCTCCGACTCAAACACGGGAGCCGTTCTCTTGGCCGTGGCTTCCCTCCAGCGATCGATGGCTTCAGTGTCTGGCCGGCTCAGCGCAATCGAAGCACTGGCTTGTGCTCCCGCGGTCGTTCCTCCCTGCCCTCTACCGAACCCGGCGTCAGGCTCCCCCGAGGCGGGTTTCTCCCTCGGCACGGCCCATGCCGCCCTGTCTTCTGGTAGGCCTTTCCTCAACGCACATTCTAATGTCTCCCCGCGCCTCAGGTCCAGGATCCTGCAGGGGCGCTACATAAACCTGGACTCGCTGATCCTCCCCTCTCCCGAGTGCGACAGGCAGGTGGCGGCGTCCGACCAATTCACCTGTCCCGTGACCTTTCTATCGGTGAATTCCTCGTGGCTTTTAGCGTGTACCGCGATGTGATATGCGTTTCCTTCCCTGAGCGCCGGCCCGAGCTGGACGCCTATCTGTGCCTCATTGGGGACCTGGCCCTGAAGTATAGCGGTGGGGCGTTCTATCGCTACCACAAGGAGTTTGCGGCCAAGGCCGCGGCACAGATCTCCCAGGCGAACTTCAGAGTGGACTGGTCGGTCCTGGACCCCGAGGTGCTAATGTTGTCAGTCGGCGGGGCTCCCGCGATCTGTTGTTCCACGTGTGGCACCGCCGGCCATGACGCCTCCCTCTGCCCGCGCGTGCCCTTCTGCCCCGCGGGGCCCGGCGGTTCCACGCGCCTACGCCAGTTCAAGCTCTCCCCACCAAGCTCGCCCTGGACGCAGCCTTCACGCTTCGACAAACACGGCCGCAAGGTGCACATGCAGGATTCTGCCCAGATATGTAACAACTTTAATGCTAGCGTGTGCACTTTTCACCAGTGTGCTTTTCTTCATGTCTGCAGCATGTGCGGGGAGGCCCACCCACGTTACGTGTGCACCCGGCGTCCCCTGGGGGGCCGCCAATCCGGCTGCCAATCCAGCCGCCCCGGCCATCCTTCGTCCAGGATCTAATCACCGGTCATCTGTCCACGCCCATCCTGGTGCCCGTGCTCGCCCGTGCCCTCTCGCTTCACCCCGATCGGGCCTTTGTTAATTTCCTCCTGTCCGGCCTGTCCCACGGCTTCTTCGTCGGCGTCACGTCCCTCCCGTCTGTGTCCTACGTGTCGCGTAACCTGCACTCCGCGCTCGAGGAACCCCTGGTCATTTCCCAGCTCCTGGCCCGGGAGGTCGCCAGGGGCTACGTCATCGGCCCGTTTTCTCAGCCCCCTTTTTCCCCATTCCGAACGAGTCCGCTGGGCGTCGCTACCCGGAAATACTCCGGGAAGAAGCGCCTCGTTTTCGATCTGTCCCACCCTCGCTCCGGGCCCACGCCTAGCATCAACTGTCTGATTCCCCCTGAACCCTTCTCCCTACGTTACGCCACGGTCGACCACGCCATCAGGCTGATTAAATCCTTCGGCTGCGGCGCTTGGCTCTCTAAGGCCGACATCACGGACGCCTTCAAGATCCTCCCCATCCACCCCTCCCACTGGCATCTGTTCGGTGTCAAATGGGACACGCAGTTTTACTTCGCGGTGCGCCTTACGTTCGGCTGTAGGAGCAGCCCCTCCCTTTTCGACAAATTGTCCGAGGCCCTTTGTTGGATTCTGCTTAACTGCGTGCGTCTCCCCTCCGTTCTCCACCTCCTTGATGACTTTCTCGTGGTCGATCCGCTCACCGACGGCTCGGGGGATTCCCTGCGGAAGCTCAGCCGGGCCTTCACTGCCCTCGGGGTCCCCTTGTCTGCGGGGAAGACCACCGGCCCGGCTACCTCGCTCGAGTTTCTCGGCATCACCCTTGACACCCTCGCCATGAAGGCTTCCCTCCCCCCGGACAAGCTTCAGCGCATCCGTGAGGTCTCGCGGTCCGTCCTGGCCTCCCCCTCAATATCTAAACGTGAGCTGCTCTCCCTGCTAGGGCATCTGAACTTTGCGATGCGGATCATACCCCAAGGACGGTCCTTCATTTCTAGGCTCCTCGTCCTCGCTCACTCTGTCTCCCCTCTTCATGCCGTGGTCTCCCTCAACGCGGGGTGCCGTTCGGACCTCGCGTTCTGGTCCCGCCTGCTCGGTTGCTGGAGCGGCGTCTCCTTCTTTTACGACGACGTGGTCCGGTCTTCGGACGCTCTCCGGTTCTTCACGGACGCTGCCCCGTCCGTGGGTTTTGGGGGATTCTACCAAGGTCAGTGGTTCGCTGGCCCTTGGCCCCAGTCATTTCCTATAAGCATTTCTTCGGCGCTTCACGAGATATTTCCTGTAGCCGTGGCATGCGTCTTGTGGGGGCATCACTGGAAGAGGAAGAGGATATCTGTCATGTGCGATAACCAGGACGTCGTGGACATACTAAATAAAGGTTGTTCTAGTGTTCCCCAGATCATGTCTTTCCTGAGGCGAATTACGTGGTCTTCGGTCATCCACAACTTCATAATCACAGCACGCCACGTCCCGGGACACCTTAATGTTGTCTCTGATTCTCTTTCTCGTTTTAAATTCCAGGAGTTCCGGCGCCTGTGCCCCTCTGCCAACCCCACACCATGCAGGATCCCCGCCATGGAGCTCCTGTCCCTGGACTAGCACCACCATCACTTTGCCGGCTCCTCACATCTGCTGCCTCATACATGAAGATGGGCCTCACTCACTCCACGCAAAAAACGTACAGCTTCGCCTGGCAGGTTTATTCTCGCTTCTGCTACGCACACAATGTCCCTCTCATTCCCATCTCCGTTCATAATGCCTGCGCTTTTATAGTACATTGTAAAGACATTCTTCGTTTTAAAATCTGGTACATTCGCGTTCTCCTCTCCGGTATTCAATTCACGGCCCGCTGCCACAATCCCTCCTTCTTGTCCCTATTCACGGAGCCATCAATCAAACTCCTCTTAAAAGGCATCTTCAATTGCTCCCCGCACTCCTCTGACCGCAGGCTACCCATCACGCTACCCATACTACAGCAGCTCTGCTCCAAGCTGCGTTCCGGCCACTTCTCCACTTACCTGACCTCCCTTCTTACTTGCGTGTTCCTCCTCGCCTTCTATGGTCTCTTGCGCATCAGCGAATTCGCACCCTCACACACTACCTTCATCCATCCCGCGACATAGAGTTCTCCGACTTGTCCTTCTACCCGGATCACTACAATCTGCACCTCAAACATTCCATTCAAAAGGGGGTCTGTAACATCATCATTGCCCGTTCAGACACTTCTCTATGCCCATTCAAGGCAATGATCAGGTACTCCCGATTACGCTCTCAGAGAGGAGTCTTTAACATGCCGTTGTTTCTCACCCCGGACAATCAGCTCATGACATCACAATGGTTCAGAACCCAACTCAAATCTGTTCTCTCTGCATGTAACCTCTCTCCCCTTCTCTACACCGGCCACTCCTTTCGGATAGGAGCAGTCACACGGGCCGCCGCCCTGGGGCTCCCTCAGACATCTCTCCAGCAGTTGGGTCGCTGGTCCTCCACCGCCTTCACATCATACATCAGACCAGACTCTGCATCCATCCTGGCAGCTCAGCGCTCCCTCTCCTCATTCTAAGTACGTATACATCTCCTGGTGGTGGCAACCTCTCATTCCAGCTTGCCGCGCATTCGAGCCGAGCTTGTGCGTGCGCCGACGCCATAGCGCTAGAGCCGAGCTCGCGCACGGACATCATGCCGCGCATTCGAGCCGAGCTCGTGCGCGTGCCAACGCCTTAGCGCTAGAGCCGAGCTCGCGCACGGACATCATGCCGCGCATTTGAGCCGAGCGCGTGCCAACGCCTTAGCGCTAGAGCCGAGCTCGCGCACGAACATTATGCCGCGTACTCGAGCCGAGCGAGTGCCAACGCCTTAGCGCTAGAGCCGAGCTCGCGCTCGGACTCGGAACTGTCACGGTAAACTCATCGCTGCCAAGCTCTCTTTTTGGGGATCATGATCTGCACTCAGGCGCAGATCCCCTCAGAGCACGGCCACAGCCAGGGCCTATGCGCCAAACAAATAAACAAACTCAATCCATAAAATCTCTCTACACATAAAAACTCGTCTCTTGTAGTCTCTCCAGGTTGAAATGCAGCTGAAGCGGAGGTTCAGGATGGTAGACTACCTGCGTCACTTCACCAGGCTGGTCCACTCTAACCCAGCCTGCCCTAATCAGCTAATCAACTCCCTGCCAGCTGTGTCAAATCAAGCCAGCGCTTAAAAGCGAAGCAAAGCAGAACACAGCTCATCAAACAGCCTTTCAAGCCGCAACCACCTCCTCCCCACCTCCGCCTCAGGATCTCACGCTCACTTTCACCTTGCTTGTTGCCACCACCAGTGTCTAGGCCCCGGGGGATCATGATCTGCACCCAGGCGCAGATCCCCTCAGAGCACGGCCACAGCCAGGGCCTATGCGCCAAACAAATAAACAAACTCAATCCATAAAATCTCTCTACACATAAAAACTCTTAAAACGCATCTCGTCTCTTGTAGTCTCTCCAGGTTGAAATATTAGATGTGTTTCTTCTCTATGCTAAAGCTGGAGATGTTATGCTTCTGTCACAGTAAAGTCGTCCATAGAGGGGGGAGGGGGGGGGGGGGGTGACCAAGACAGAGACAGTATTAAAAGAATATTTTTAATAAATGTCTTGATAAAAAATTTTGTATGTAAAAAATTTTTTAAAAAAAATGTAATAAACGAAAGAGATCAATGGTCCATCTGTGTTTCAGTTCGTTCCGTTTATACCAGTCCCAGTAGAGACTGGTATAAACCTCTCTGGACCACCTGTCCTCCCCGGCCTCTCTCCC